ACACTCAATAAGTGTTTGTGAACTGAGGACACTAAATGTTGAAGCTTTTCATTCTTGCTTGATGAACATCTTCAGTTGCTCAACAGTCCTGAGTCTCTCTTCATAATGCTCCACACATTTTCAATGGGAGACAGGTGTGGGCTGCAGACAGGCCAGTCTAGTACCTGCACTCTTTCACTCAGAAGCCACACTGGAACACGTGCAGAATGTGTCTTCATTGTCTTGCTGAAATCAAGTAATTACGTCAGACTGACCTTGCGCATGGCTGTAATTAACAGGAAGGAGAGATGTTTTCAGGAATGTGATGCTGTCTGTAATTGTTCTGTCGTATACACTAGTACTGGTGATGTTACATGCTGTCAGAGAAGAGAAGAGCTGCAGCCGCAGTTGGTAGAATTATTGGACTGCAGGAACAGCTGATCAATCATGTGAGGTTGGTTAATGTTCATTACATCAGATCAGCAWATGTGTTTCCATCTGCCTTTTGCTCATTAACTCTTTTTCGGAAAATCTAAAAATCACCTCAGCAAGTAAAAAAAAACTTTGCAAAAGTTTCTTGAACTTTTTCATTTTCATCAACCTTCTCTAATGTGCTACGTCAAAATGTGCATAAAAATGTTAATGAGTAAACAGCTTATATCAGTAAAGTAGGTGTGTGTGGATCTGAAATCATCAACACTGACATTATTAACGTTAGTTTCTCCTCGGATAATTTAATTTCTTGATTCTGATCATTAGAGCAATGGGATCAATTACTTTCAGTATTCAATTCAATTCAGTTTATTTATATAGCACCAAATCACATCAATTTTCTCATGGCACTGTACACAAAAAACAATAAATCAAATAATAAAATGAGAGAAAACGCTCATTGTTATTTTGTGATAAGGACCAGGGCCTATATTATCACAAGAAAACCATGGGGAAAAAAATGATACGCGGAAAACGTCTGCTCTCGGCTTCCGTTGGTGTAACACACACCTTCAATAAATAAAGTAGTACTATTTAGTTCTCTGTGCAATATTTGATCACTCAGCTTTATTTTTTTATAGTTTTARTCAGATGGAATGTAGGTTCAGCAGTTTGACCTCTGAAACACAAACAAGAACTAAAGATGCAGTTCCTAAACTTTGTGTGGTTTTATTAAAATAGGAGACTTTTACAAAGTATTTACAGACCAAGAAATGAATTATAWATGTAATGGTTTCAGTAGTTTTATGATTAAAACTGTAAGAATTGTGAAATGTAAGGTTTTATTTTAGTGAAACGTTTAAACTGACTTCTTATTTAAAGAACATCAGAATACAAAGGCTTACTCCAAATAATAGAGTAATCAATGTTTATCTGTAAATAATTTAGAATAAATCAGTTTGACACAAAAGCATCAAAAGATCTGCCCCTCAGGAGGTTCTTCAGTGATCCAGGAGCTGAAGATGGACTCAGAAGGAGGACACCACCGGCTGCAGGAACAGGAGATCAAATCTTTGGTCTAGTAGTGGTCCAGGAGCAGGAGGTCAAATCACCAGAGTGTGCGAGGTGGTGCTGAAGAACCACTTACAGAAGTAAAAATGTTTATCTGAATTATTTCTCAAACACATCAAAACAGATCTGTTTGATAAAACAAAATCCAGTAAGTTCAAAAGAAAAACGCTACAAAGTTAAAATGGYAATAAAACTGCAGATGCTCTCTGTCTCTGCAGGGAGGAGACGTGTTACTGTGCTGAGGACAACAGGGACAGTCTGTCCTGAAGACTCTGCTGATTCTCTTCTTTCAAATGTTCTTTCTGTGAAAGTCGAAAGAGGAAGAGGAAGAGCTGAGGTATTTATGATGATGGAGACAGTTTTATGACCTGAAGGCTCAGGTTCAGATTAACTGACCAGTGAAAGAAAAGCACATTTTTACTTTGCTCTTGAATGAAATGTACTGAGGAATATTTCATCTTACAGGAAACCAAAAGTTTCAACTTTAAAATGTAACTTTCTAATGTTCTCAGATGGCAACGCTCTGCAGCTAAAAGCTCTTAAAGTAAGCAGTGAGGTGAAAAATAATCATGTCAGATAATAATTTAGTCGATTCTGATTGAACGGCTTCAGAACTGATCCGTTCATGCTAACATGCTAACATGTAGCATCCATGTCTCCTTCAGTAAACAGCGAGCTGTGTGTGATCAGGATTGTGGACTGTTAAGTCTGATATAGGTCCATTTTAAATTAGAATATGAGCAACCACAAAAAATATGTCAGCAATAAAATCAGAATTAGAGCTGGTTAGGAYGCTAGAGTCCATCATGTACTGAGAGGATGAAAGTAAGTTAAACACACAAAGATAATGAATGAGTTTAAGAACAACAAACTAACACAAAAGTAAAAAAATTATGGAGTTGGCTGCAAGGATCACTTGTTTGATGATAGGATCAGCGTTTAATCTGAACTGGTTTAAAATAGCAGGATGGTGAGGAAATGGGAMCAGGTAAAACTTCAGCACTTTGCTTTGGCCTTAACAGCATTTGGACTAGCCATTAGCTCACCACAGTTCAGGTAGGCAAGCATGTCTCACATTCAATAAATCTAAGTACTGAAGCCCCACAGGGCTGTGTCCTAAGCCCCCTGTTGTACCCTTTGCACACCCATCACTGTGTGGCCACGTCAAAGTCTACTAGTATTATTAAGTTTGCTGATGACACAGTTGTGGTGGGCCTRATCTYAGGCAACAATGAGCAGGCATACTTAAAGGAGATTGCAAACCTTGGAAATGGTGTCATGATAATAACCTCTTCATCAATGTCAGCTAAACAAAGGAGATGATCGTGGATTTYGGCAAGAAGTAACAAAGGAGCTACTGCCTGGTCCACATAAATGGAACAGCAGTGGATAGATTGGAAATCTTTAAATACTTCATGGGGTACTATAATACTTCTTTCTATATGTAACCATAAACACAATAGACCACAGTTTCTCCATAATTTTTGAAAACCCTTTCGGAATGCTTTTAATGTTTCATTTATGTTCTACGTTATAAACCAGTGTGTTTTGTGTTATTTCTTAACATTTTGCATGTTCTGCATTTCAATTATTGTGTTGTTTTGTTCACATTTAAACCTAAACTTCCTTCTTTAAACCGTGTGTGAATGTCTGTCCAAAAAATCTTTTCACTACAAGTCACAGTGTATTACTGTGTATGTGACAAAWACATTTGATTTGATTTTCACAGCCCAYTAGAGGGGTTTATGACTATATAGCTGTGCAGAAATGTTTTAGTTACAAATTAATTAAAAGACGTTAACAAGGGAAGGCTTGTCCATCCAGCCTTACATGTTGGAGCCAGAGTCTAACCCAGAACCAGAGAACAATGAAGACAAGGAAATTGTAGTTGGTAAGTCCAGACCTTATTGGGCAGTTCCACCACATATATATGGATGTAATGGTTCAGAAAACATCATAGAAAACACAGAAAACTGAACAGGTTGTAAACTTTGACCCAAACAGAATATTAAGATACCGAGTAAGACCAATTCAAATTTTCTGCCTCCTAGAGACACCAAGAACACAACAAAATGCATTTAACAGCTAAAAGTGAATTTTGCATTCATGTCTCCTTTGAAGTTCAGCTAGTTTCCTGTCTGATCAGTTTCAACATGTTTTAGAACAGTGACGAAAATAATTTAATACAAGAAAACATTTAGGTCTTTATCCTGATGAAGATTAAATATTGATGCTTTTTCATGAAGAAATGCTTGTCCTGGCCTCACAATGCCTTCTAAAATAATAATAAAAAAGTTTTGTTACAACTTGTCCAGAAACTCTTTTCATCAGAATAAAGAAAAGTAATAAAGAGTTTAACAGACAGCTTTGTGTCTGCAGGTTTTATTTAGCAGGATGGGTTACATTCAGGTTGGCCCGGTACCAKACCAGATCTCCTTTAAAAGCTTCTAAACCCAACAGACACTAACACAAAAACATAAAAAACTCCGTCTGTTTTCACAGTTCTAAGAAGACAACAGAACGTCGTACTTTATTCTGTTACCAACATTTATGGCAACTGTCCAGAAAACCAGACCTTCCAGTCTGAGTCATACATGAATCTGCAGGAGGGCTCTAACAATGGCAATAGTTCAGGCATGAAAAAAATGATCTAATATTTTTAAACATCAAACATCAACCTAAGGTCACAGCTGTCAGGACTGAGGTCTTTAAAGTCATAGTTTGGCCAGTTTCAAGTGGAGTTTTGAGTAGAAGTCATGAAAAGAACTGAGGAGCTAATGGCTAGTCTTAAAACAACTCCAGTCTCCAAAGTTTCAAAATAGTTCATCCCTCTTTAAATAGATCTTTACAAATTATATCTGAGTGTAACGCGATTTCAGCATCAGGAGCATCAGGTTTACATGCAAAGTCTATGGTGGACGCGCTTCAATCAGCGTCGGGAAGTGCTGCGGCGCCTCAAGCACGATTAGAGCAGCGCGATTTGAACGATTTGAACGATCTGAGCGTTCGACGCGCTGAGGCGCAAATCACTGAAGTTAGAAAATCTGAACTTTTGCAGCTCGACGTGCCGCGTCAACCAATCAGAGAGACTCCACTGTGTGACGTAGCGACATATTTCCCGACGGGACAGTTTACTGAATGATGTCCACTAACCTGAAACAGATGGAGAGGAGCTCTTTAGCTGAAATCGAGTGCCTGCAGTCGGTGTCCTGACAGGAGATATCCTCACCAAAGCATGGCAGCGACTCATCAGACTGGACTCGGGACAAAAATAGTCCTGAAAGCGAGCTGTGAGCCTCTCCCGCAGCTCCTGGGTGATGAAACTCAGAATGTCTCTGAATTATCTGGTGAATTAATTATGAATTAATTATCTGATGAGCGTGACATGCTCTTGCTCTCTGTAAATAAAGCAAAGCCACTTCCTCGTCCGACATTAAACAGAGCCCGACAGAGGAGGGAGGGGCGGGGAGGCTCTTGCCATGTGAGCGCTTCAAGAGCTGACCTGCGTCTGACCTCAAAGTGCACAAGCRTCCAACTTGAMGCGTTGGATGCGATTTTGATGCTGAAATCGCGTTCGGTGTGAACGCAGCATAATATTCATTATACCATCATCAATATACTGTACCAGTTAATTATTACACTGTTACAATTGCCAATACAGAATCCCATGCAAATAGCTGGGTCATGCAGAACTGATGGTGGTGCAAAGATTTAAAAATTAGTGTTGTTTGGTATAAGACTACATTAATCTTTGCTCCTATCTGCATTTGTTTTAGCTGTTAGCCTCTCAGTTTTGTTGAACATTTCTGTAAACTCAAACTGAGGTCATTCAAGAACCGACCAAAACCCAAATTCAAAATGGCCAAACTATTTTTTAAACAAGTGATCCAAAGGAATTCTGGCATTCATCTACACTTTTTACAGTACATTAAGAAGTTCAGTTAAAGCTACCTAAGTTAAATTATCATTCGAAAAAGTCCTGAAACAGGAAGTGGTAATCCCTGAGAAAAGGCTAATGTCTTTTTTCACAAACATGATAAGCTAATGTTGAGCCTTTCTTTTCAGCTTTCTATTYGATTGATTCTTCCACTCCTGTTGACCAAGATGGTTTGTTAAAAAGTTGTTGTATTTTTCTTCCTCCTGTTGCTTCTTCTCATCCTTGTACCAGGGTCCCCACACCCCTCCATGGTACTGCGGGTTCGAGCGTAGGTCTTTGGCCGGATAGCGCACCGGTACAGCAGTCTTGTTGTATTGGGCTAGCCGCATTAGCATCTTCTTCACTATATGTGGGTATCGCTGGGACAAGTCCACTCTCTCGTAAGGGTCAGCTGTGATGTTAAACAGCCAAATGGACTTACCCCTGTCCCAGCGGATTCGTTCATTATGGTGGCGGCTGGTCAGTCGCTGGCTGGAGAAGGTCTGAGGAGGTACCCAGTCACTGTAGCCTGGCACACCTGTAAGTAACTTCCAGTGGCCCACTCGGAGTGCAGCTTGGACAGCTGTGTTCCATAGGCCATACCCAGCYTTCCAAGAGCCATTCTTGGCTTTAATATAGATTGGGTCAATGTTATGAAGGATGTCCGGTCGAGGTGAAGGGTGGCCTTCACTGATGGCATCCCAAACATCATAACCATCTAGGTTTAGATCTTCATCTAAGGTCCCTCCTCCCAGGGTCACCAGTGTAGGGAACCAGTCAGTAATGTGGACCAAGGATCGACATTTTGTCCCTTTGTTCACCAACAGGGGACTGTGAACAAAGCCTACCGCTCTAATGCCCCCCTCCCAGTATGTCGCCTTACTCCCCCTCAAGGGCCAATTACTTCCACCAGCAAACGGCTGCCCCCCATTGTCAGAGGAATACACTATAACGGTGTTGTCATAGTAACCATAGCGTTTCAGCGCTATGGTGAGGTTGCGTATAGCTTCATCAAGACAGGAAACCATGGCAGCATATTTACGTCGTTGGAGGTTTGGAATGCCTTTGTAGCGCTCGAGGTATCGGGCAGGAACTTGCAGAGGAGAATGAACTGCCTGGTAGGCCAAGTACAGGAACAAGGGCTGTTTGCGAGGGTTGTGATTGGCCAAGATGCTGATAGCCTTTCGTGTGAACATCACAGTGGAGTACAAACCATGGTCCTGTTCCCAAGCTGCTTCTTCCCCTTCGTACAAGTCATAGCCACACATACCGGGCCCTTCACATTTGTAGTGACTGTAGTAGTCCCCACTCCCAAGCAGGGAGCCAAAGAACGAGTCAAAACCCCGCTGGGTGGGAAGGCAGCCACGCTTGTAGAAACCCAGGTGCCACTTTCCCACCATGTGAGTGGAGTAGCCTGCTTCTTTGAGTTTCTGGGGAAGGGTGACGTTTTCCAGGGGTAGGCAGTTGGGCTGGGTAGCTCGAATGATGGAATGTTGGAGGCCTGTGTGGATCTGATACCTGTGGACAAAAGAAAGGTACAAACTTTTAAAAATAGAAAAAAAGATAAGATAAGATAAGATAAGATGAGATAAGATAAGATAAGATAGAACTTTATTGTCATTGTACATAGCACAATGAAATTACAGTTCAGAACACACATTCAGAAGAAGACAGAACATAACAAACATAGGAGAACAGGTGCTCTGGGTCATGCAGCCACAGACCCTGCACAGAGCAAGGATCATCTTCATGAAGACATCATGAGGAGGCGCAACCCTTAAAAAACTAAAAACCAGACAAGGGAAGATGAGGGGAAAAAACACATAATATCAACAATGTGACACACTATGGTGTTTATGAAAAAACTCTGCATAGAGCACATTTATTAGCCAGAGGAGTAAGTGAGTTTAGTGGGGCATGTATCTGAAGCCATGATTGTTGTATGCACTTGTGTGAATATCTGAAATATACTCCCTAAGGACTGAGTCCCCAAAACCTGTGCAGCCAAAGTCCAGAATATGGATGTTAACTGTTCATTCTGTGCGGCCCTCAGCTTGCTCCAAGAAGCAGACCACAGACAGGTGGGGGGGGCAGACCCTCAGTCGACGTATACATCCAGGAAAAATTTAGTCCACATCTCAAGGATATGTAGGGGAGAGCCAAATTCTGTAATCAGTTATTTGGGAACAAAAGAGAATGTTTTGAGCCAGGCAWACAATAACAATTTCCTTCTACTTCAATGTCTGCTGGTACAACTCAATGTGGTGAATCCAATCAGACAAATAGTGTGTACAAATTCAGCCGAGCCGAGCTATCAGCTTTCTCCAAGATCAATTCCATCTGGCCAGCAAAGTTCAGGGACCACAGCCGGCCCGCAACCCTCAGCAGAACTACTTGCAGACCGAGTCCAGCTTGCTCAAGGCAAAGGTCTGAGTGCTGATAGAACGGCAATCCTTCATATTGGTCAGGCAGCCACRAAATGAAAAGCCATCAACACTGTTTTGTATAACACCAGGAGACCATCAAGCCAATTTGTAGAATCCAGTGATCGGAATCCAAATATACGTATATCCAGAACAAAGCAGAACAGAGGTCCCACCTTTGACATGTCCTCCCATGGAAGAAAACTTTGTTCCAAAAAATTTATTAAGAGACCAACTAACCAAATCCATAAAAATAAAAATATTCATAATTTCTGGTTTCGGATGAAAACAAAGAGAAGGCTCCGAGCAGCAAAGCAGAGAATATAAGGAAGGGCAAGAGAGAAGGAAAAAGGGTCTTGCTCCTCCRATAGCGGAACCAAAAAAAAGTAAATAGTTGAGTATTCAACAGAAAAATGCAAAAGATCCACTAATCACATCCACTAATGCTGCTTAAAGTTCTATCACACAAAGAAGACGTAAGAACGTACGGAAGCATATTGCTATCACGCGGGAAAAAAAAAATCCGAGCGCTATCACGTTTATCACGTTATAACGTGATACGTATCTTGTTAAAACGTGATAGTATCTCGTTAAAACGCGATAGTATCTCGTTAAAACGTGATACGTATCACGTTAAAACGTGATAGTTATCTCGTTAAAACGTGATAGTTATCTTGTTAAAACGTGATACGTATCTTGTTAAAACGTGATAGTATCTCGTTAAAACGCGATAGTATCTCGTTAAAACGTGATACGTATCACGTTAAAACGTGATAGTTATCTTGTTAAAACGTGATAATTATCTTGTTAAAACGTGATATGTATCTTGTTAAAACGTGATACGTATCTTGTTAAAACGTGATAGTATCTCGTTAAAACGCGAT